AGCAGAAAAACAGGTTTGGAGACAAAGGATTCTCACATATACACAGAGTCACACAAAAGGGCTCGGTGTAGTTCTGGAGACAGAAGGACTATGTGCCAGGTGGCAACTGAATAGCCTTTAGAAATGCAGATACCTACCTGGTGAAACCCATTGTTTCATATGCATACTTTTTGCTGGGTGTGGGGAGAAGCCTGGAGGGTTTTTTTTCAGGTGAGATTGAAGGTCCTAATTCACAGTAGCCACTGAACCAACCCAAGCCTTTTAGCTGCTTTTGTCCCTCTTCTCCGGTGGACTGCCAGTCTACTCTGTAGCCTTTATGTTCCCCCTAAGTTGTTGTTGAGTCTTGTGAGCAAAAATTCTACTTCGTGAGCAAGCCTACATTTTGCTGTGAGTGAGCCTGCATTTGACTGCATAAATTAGTTTGCGTCTTGCTGAGACTCAACAAGGACAAGCCACATAGCCTAAGATTCTTAGCTGGAAGCCCAGGAGAGATTGTTTGACTGCAAGTTTCCATGGCCCAGATCTTATGCACTGAAGCAGTATCTCTCAGCATCACATAAACTCTACAAATGCCCATTGGGTTCAACACTTGTACCACTAAACTCAGAAGAAAAGTCATTTGAATTAATGGCAATAAACAGGCCTTGTACATCCAAACCCTTGCACAGCAAATAGTTAAAACTTAACAGAAACTATACAGATGAGTGATTATGTATTCACTGGTGAAGCCTGAGTATCTGACAGTCATAAAAAAGCATACCACCAGAATTTCAAAAATCAGATCTGTCAAATGCAGTCACGAGATGGCTGAATATCATGGCCTTGCACATTCTTGGTATTTTACTTTTTAAAGTGCATTTCTTCTAGCAAAGGGAGAAATCAAATGCTTCTTTTGAGTATTTCTCTCCCACGCCCCTCCCACAGGAGGAGGGAACTCACCTTCTTCCCCAAGGATTTCCACATTTACAACACAAAAGCTCACCAGAAGAAGTAGAAGTTGTGCAGCCTGGAGGAGCAAAACTTTAGAGCTCGCAAATAGCACCCTCTGCCAACTGCCATTGCAGGAAGCGTACTATGCGGCTCAAAAAAAAAAAAGCTCCGAGATCAAATGGCTTTTGGGTAGAGGACTCTGAAACTCCCCCCACACACACACACACTGTAGGGAAGCTACAGCTTGACTCCTGTTAAGAGATAAAGGAGGGATTTCTCACCACCCAAGCAAGAAATAGGTGAGGTTGGAGAAGGAAAGAGCTGATGCCAGAGGCAAGAAGGAGGAAAATTTCACTGCACGTGTGCAGAGCAGGCTTTTGGCGAGGGAGGGGAGGGCGGGGAGGAGAGGAGAGAGGCGGGGCAGGCTCGGAAGCCAGCCAGAACTGCGTTCCGGTGCATTCCAGAGAGCCAGTTTGGTGTAGTGGTTAAGTGAGCGGACTCTAATCTGGGAGAACCGGGTTTGATTCCCCACTCCTCCACTTGCACCTGCTGGATGGCCTTGGGCAAGCCATAGTTCTGTCAGAGCTGTTCTTGAAAAAGAGCAGATTCTGTCAGAACTCTCTCAGCCCCACCTACCTCACAGGGTGTCTGTTGTGGGGAGGGGAAGGGAAAGGAGTTTGTAAGCTGCTCTGAGACTCCCTTGGGTAGTGAAGGGCGGGGTATAAATCCAATCTCCTCCTCCTCCTCCTCTTCCTGCCCAAAAATAGCCCTGGTTGGGGCTACCCTAAGGTGAAGGCAGCACCTCTGGGCTACACTATACAACAAGCTTTAAGAGCAGATCAGAATGTCCTGTGACTCAACAAGCTAAACTAGGATTGCCAGCTTTTGCTTGAGACATTCCTAGAGATTTGGGATGGAGCCTGGGGAGGGCAGGGTTTGGGGAAGGAAGGGACCTCACTGGGGTATAACACCATAGAGCAGAGGTGTCAAACTCATTTGTTACAAGTTCCAGATCTGACATAAATGTTACTTTGTCGTGCCTGACTCAAAAGGTGTGTTAGGAAGGCAAATGTTTAATACTTGCTTGCCATTGTTGGTGTTGCCTCATATTACTCAGGGCCAAAGTTCAAATGTTGGTGAGTTCTTAATATCTTCAATTGAGAACGGGTATGTAGCCATAATACAGATCTAGCGTAAAGACCTCTTTAGGCAATAGCACCTGCTGGAATAAAGTAGACTTTTTAATAAATTTAAGCAGTATAGGGATTCATGTGAAATTACCAGTGAATATGTGCAGAATTAAAGCTAGGCCACTAATCCATGGCTGCCAACTGTTTTAAATAGCTGTCAGTAAAATGGATAGCCCCCTCAAATTGTTCCTTTAGTCATAATCATATAATTTTATAGTACCAGAGTAATGAAGCAGCTTGAATAGTGTTCTGCTTCTGCCTGGAGGAAGGAGGATTCTGTATCTTTGGCAGCTTTTCTTTGGTTCAAAGCACGTTTATTATGGTCTTCTGCAAAGGACAGGCTTTTAGCTGGGGATAAAGCAAGACCAATAATGGCTCTTAGTTTATCTTGGTTATGGATCGAAGCTGAAATAAACAAAGCACTGCAATGATCATTTCAGGCCATCTACAGAAAGCTTCATACCATTAGTGCTATCTTTCCCTCCTTTCTTCCTCCCTAAAGAAAAGTACCTAAACAAAACAACTGCAAGAGAATGGGATTGGCTGTGAGCTAAAGGGGAAGTGTATGCATGAATCAGTATTAATTATCACCATATTGGAGGTCATCCTCTATCCTACTGTCAGGATTTGTGTTCATCGCCATTATCTTGCTATACTAAGCACAGCCAGAGTAATCTCATTCCACAAAATGAGGTGCAGGGAAGAAAAGAGGAGTGCAGATGTCTCAAGCAGATTTGCTTCTCGCACGCTTTCCATTTGAAATCTGTTTGTGCAAACTATAGATTAGTTGTTGTGAAGCTCTGCCAGCGGGATAGATGCAAGCAGTGCATTCAAAAGAAAAGAAAAACCCAAACCCTCTCCCCCTCCTGGCAGCTTGTCTCATTAACAAGACAGGACATCCATCTTGGCCCTTTGGGCAATATTTAAGCCATTGACTGTAATTGCCCTATCATCATCATTTATTATTTATATTCTGCCCTCCCACATACTAAGCACTAAAAATCAGTATAAATGGTGCCATTTAGGAAGGGTAGTGAGGGCATTGCCCTCCTCTATGTCTCAGACCACATTTGATTGTGGTCTGGACTGGAGCACTTAAATTTCTGGCTAGCTATATAAATTATGCATATAAAGTAATAAATGGAGTTATGTAATGTGACTGAAAGACATAAATACATTTGCTTTTTAAAAAGGTGACTGCTTGGTCTGTGTTGAAAATGTTATGAATAAGTAACTACAACAAAGGGGTTTTTTTGTTCTTTTGTTTGTTTTGAATGTTACCCTGCTATTTTTTCTCTGTGTCCGATCTCTAAATCTTCAGACAGAGAATCTTGCCTACTCCCTAGTGAAATATCTTTAGCCCAGGGGTCCCCAACCTTTTTGAGCCTATGAGTATATTGTGTAGTGGGTTAGCCGCATGGAAGACCCGCTGAGGCACGCATGATACCCTGCAAGAATTACTGGCACACAACAAAGACAAAGACAAACGGCCAACTGGGCAACTATATACATACCTGGGGACACACCCCCAGGTCCCGTTGGTAGGTTTAAATCTCCCGCCACGGTCCCATTGGTCCCCCAGTAGAGGGACCAGGAGCCTAGGCCCCATTGTTCTTCCAGAGTCAAGCTCTGAGGCATTCGCTGGCCCCTGTTGGCGGTCAGCGGACACAACAGAGTACATTTAGAATCCTGACATGGAATGGTGGGCACAGCAACAAAATGGGGACCACAAAATGGCTGCTGCAGGAGTTGGCACCAGACACAAAATGATGGCCTCAGATTAACTTCAGTAACACAGTGCAGATCCTTGTGTTATGGTGGCAGCTGCTGTCAAAGCAACATTTAAAAAAAACTGCATAGCCAATCAAATATCCAGGATTCAGTCAGAAGCCTTGCTGGGCAAAGCCCCACCCACTTCCTAAAAACACTTTTTGGGCACCAAAAAAAGTATCGGTGGGCATCATGGCACCTATGGGCCTCATGCTGGGTCAAAAGCAAACTTGTGGTCTAAAGCAAATTCCTTCTTGTCCTCTCCAAATGATGCCTCAAATTACCTTCTGCAACAATAGTTGTTAGCTGTTGGTGTCTATTTGATTATCATTTTAGTGTTCTGTAATAATAGAAATATGGAGCTGTGGTGGCTCAAGTGGTTAAGACGCTGAACTGCAGGCTGTGGAAGGTCAGTAGTTCAGCAGTACGAGACCCGGGTGCCGCATGATGGAGTGAGCTCCCATCTCTAGTTCCAGCTCCTGCCAACCTAGCAGTTTGAAAGCAAGAAATTGCAAGTAGATAAATAGGTACCACTTCGGTGGAAAGGTAACAGCGTTCCGTGCGCCTTGGTGTTTAGCCATGCCGGCCACATGACCACGGAAACATCTTCGGACAGCGCTGGCTCTTCGGCTTTGAAACGGAGATGAGCACCGCAACCCTAGAGTCGGATTTGACTGGCTTTCGAGCAAGGGAACCTTTACCTTTACCTTTAATAATAGAAATATTTTCTCTGTGGCTGAAAACTAGTAGAGAAGCCTCATACATATAACTAGTGCTTCTTCCATTGCTAGCTGCTATGGAGGATCCATTGCCAGCTCTTGGATGGAAAAGTGCTCCCATTTTACACAAACCCCTAGGTGCTGGAGGTGGCAGTACCCTCCTGCATATATGAACCATGAGTTCAGATCCAGCGACTTTATGATTTTGCATTTCATTTAATAAAAAATAATGCCCAGCACAGCTGTGGTGTATTGCTTCCCTTAACCCATCTATTATGGCTTGCTGAAAATGATCATACAGCTCCATGACTAGTTTGGTGTTTGCATAGAATAGATCTATATCTAATATCTCGGGTTTAGGTACTCTGATTTGTATGTATTTTTTCCACAGAATGCTCTGGGCCATTAGGAATTGAAGGAGGAATCATTTCAAACCAACAAATTACTGCATCATCCACTCATCGGGCTCTTTTTGGGCTCCAGAAATGGTATCCCTACTATGCACGACTTAACAAAAAAGGTCTTGTAAATGCTTGGACGGCTGCAGAAAATGACAGATGGCCATGGATTCAGGTAACAGATGGAGCTGTTGTGGTGGGCGTGGGGAGTCTTCTAGGCTTCATTGCCAAAGTAATTTAAGATACTGATGAAGAAAAAGGGTAAACTGTTATCAGGATTCTTATTTGCAACCTTAAATAACCCCTAGACTAATGCGGAGGTTTTTGTTGTTGCTGTTCTTACAATTGCTTTGAATCATTCATAGGGATGGGCATGAACTGACTCATGAACTAAAGTTCATCATGAATTTTGGACAGTTCATGGTTTCCGAAACCAAGTTCATGGCAGGGCAACCATCACAAACTTTCCGCGAACTTTGGTGGTGTTTCTGGTGGTTTGTGCCAGTTTGTGAATGGATACATTTACAGATAAACAGACAGTCTCTGCTCAGTCTAAATGTTTACCTAACTTCAAAACAACAAGGGGCAGAAACTTCAAAGCAAGGGGGGAACAATTTTCCAGCCTTGGACTGTTTCCCTTTTCCCCCTCTGTATCTTGATTTTCCCTGCTGCTCTTGTCAGTTCAAAACTTAGTATTGTCTGTTTCAAGAGGATTCACCTCCCCCTCTTTGCCAGCATTTTCAGTTCCCTTCCCATTTTCTTGCACAGAGCTTGCCCCCTGACTTGGTGTGTGATTTTGTCTGTGCAAGACATCAGTCCTGTTGAGCTGGCATTGCTCTGAGCCATTTAAACCACTGCTTTCTGCTCACGGAGGTTTTCTGCAGGGAGCAGAAAGCAGAGGTGCAAGGACAGAGCACTGTTGAGACTCCTTTGTGTCCCAATGTACCCCGTTTGGGAGGAACGTGCCATGCTTCACTAGGGCTGACATCATTGGGCATGCTTTTCTAGGCAAAGTAGCTTATTCTGAACAAAAGCCAAGGACCACCTCCCCAGTGGTTATCAAAATAAAAATGCAAGGTCTGGCATCAAACAGAATAGCACACTTCCATTTCTGCCCAGTGATGCTAACCCCTTTGCTAACCCCTTTGCCAACCACCCAAGAACCTAAGCAAGCCGATTATTCCACCAGTTTCCAAAAACGATTTGGGTGATTTCTTTTAGGATTGACTGATTTGATCTTCTTGCAGTCCAAGGGACTCTCAAGAGTCTTCTCCAGCACCATAGTTCAAAAGAATCTATTATTCTGCGCTCGGCCTTCCTTATAGTCCAACTCTCGCAGCCATACATGACTACTGGGAATACCATTGCTTTGACCATGCGGACTTTTGTTGGCAGGGTGATGTCTCTACTTTTTATCATGCTGTTTAGGTTCGCCATCGCTTTCCTCCCAAGGAGCAGGCGTCTTTTAATTTCATGGCTGCTGTCACAGTCTGCAGTGATCTGGGATCCCAGGAATGTGAAGTCTGTCACTACTTCCACAACTTCCCCTTCTATTTGCCAAGGAGTGATGGGGCCGGATGCCATGATCTTAGTTTTTTTGATATTGAGCTTCAAGCCCACTTTTGCGCTCTCCTCTTTTACCCTGAGCAAGAGGCTCTTTAGGTCCTCTTCACTTTCAGCCATTAGAGTGGTATCATCTGCATATCTGAGGTTGTTGATCTTTTCCCCAGCAATCTTAATTCCCGCTTGTGATTCATCCAGGCCAGCATTTCGCATGATGTACTCTGCATATATATTAAATAAGCAAGGTGACAATATACATCCTTGTCGTACTCCTTTTCCTATGCTGAACCAATCAGTTGTTCCATATCCGGTTCTAACTGTCGCTTCTTGACCCTTATACAGGTTTCTCAAGAGACATGTAAGGTGGTCTGGTACTCCCATCTCTTTAAGGACCTGCCATAGTTTGTTGTGATCCACACAGTCAAAAGCTTTAGCATAGTCAATGAAGCAGAAGTAGATATTTTTCTGGTACTCTCTTGCTTTCTCCATAATCCAGCGAATGTTGGCAATTTGATCTCTAGTTCCTCTACCTCTTCGAAACCCAGCTTGTACTTCTGGTAGTTCTCTATCCACGTACTGTTGAAGCCTAGCTTGTAGGATCTTGAGCATGACCTTGCTAGCGTGTGATATGAGTGCAATTGTGCGATAGTTTGAACATTCCTTGGCATTGCCCTTCTTTGGGATTGGAATGTATACTGATCTTTTCCAATCCTGTGGCCACTGTTGCGTTTTCCAAATTTGCTGGCAAATGGAGTGCAGAACTTTAACAGCATCATCTTCTAAGACTTTGAATAGCTCAGCTGGAATACCATCACCTCCACTAGCTTTGTTGTTAGCAATGCTTTCTAAGGCCCATTTAACTTCACATTCCAGGATGTCTGGCTCAAGGTCAGTGATTATACCGTCGTGTTTGTCAAGGACATTGAGGTCTTTCTTGTATAGTTCTTCTGTGTATTCTTGCCATCTTTTCCTAATCTCTTCTGCTTCTGTTAGGTCCCTACCGTTTTTGTCCTTTATCATGGCCAGCTTTGCATGGAACGCTCCCTTGATTTCTCCAATTTTCTTGAAGAGATCTCTAGTCCTTCCCATTCTATTGTTTTCTTCTATTACTTTGCACTGTTCATTCAGGAAGGCCTCCTTATCTCTCCTTGCTGTTCTCTGGAAATCTGCGTTCAGTTGGGTAAATCTTTCCTTTTCGCCTTTGCCTTTCGCTTTCCTTCTTTTCTCTGCTATTTGTAAAGCCTCATCAAACAGCCACTTTGCTTTCTTGCATTTCTTCTTCTTTGGGATGGTGGTGATTGCTGCCTCCTGTACAATGTCACGAACCTCCGTCCATAGTTCTTCAGGCACTCTATCACGTCTAGACCCTTGAATCTATTCTTCACCTCTACTGTATATTCATCAGGGATGCGATCTAGGTCGAACCTGAATGGCCCAGTGGTTTTCCCAATTTTCTTCAGTTTAAGTCTGAATTTTGCAATGAGTAGCTCATGATCTGAACCACAGTCAGCTCCAGGTCTTGTATTTACTGACTGGATAGAGCTTCTCCATCTTTGACTGCAAATTATATAGTCAATTTGATTTCGGTGTTGCCCATCTGGTGATGTCCATGTGTAGAGTTCCCTCTTAGGTTGTTGGGAAAGGGTGTTCGCTATGACCAGTGTGTTCTCTTGACAAAACTCTGTTAACCTTTGCCCTGCTTCATTTTGCTTTCCAAGGCCAAACTTGTCTGTTATTCTGGTTACCTTTTAACTTCCTACTTTAGCATTTCAGTCCCCTATGATGATGAGGACATCATTTTTTGGTGTTAGTTCTATGAGGTGTTGTAGGTCTTCATAGAACCGGTCCACTTTAGCCTCTTCTGCATCAGTGGTTGGGGCATAGACTTGGATAGTGATGTTGAATGGTTTGCCTTGCCTTTATGTAAACTATGCTTAATCGTTATGAGCAATCTGTTGGATAAGTGTCTATACACTCTATTGGGTTATGACCACCAACCCATCTTTGTATTTCAGTGAATGCAATATACAGTTTTGAGCACATATAGTTGTGAATTGTAGATGGTCTTCCCTTGGTGGGTGTTGTTTGTGGCCAACTGAAACCGGGGCAGCATTCACATGAAATCTACCAGAGATCTGTGATTTTTTGCATGAGCCTGAGGTGAATGACACTTAACAATAAATTTGCAATTTATTTTTCTTGCATTCTGCAAGTGGGCTCAAAATTGAATTCACCATTCTAAATTTACACTCACAGAATTTAATTAGTAATGGAACTACAATACTTGTAATTGGTTTGCAATTTAAAGGGTCAGTGGCTATGTCATTAAAAGCAAATTAAAGAGAAACTGAGTTATATCTAACTTTAAATAATTTCATATGGACTTACAGAATTAATAAAATAATATTCGTGTTAGGCACTTACTGCTTCATTAGGAACACAGAGCAGACTGCTTTAAGTAAGATGTGAAAAATCACCTCTTTATACCTGCTTTACTTTAATAACTACCAGTTAGATATGATCAAATTTGTCACTTAGCCTATTGTAGCAAACAAGCTTGCTCTTTTGCACTGCCAGCTATGAATACACATTGTTATCACCCCCATTTCAATTTCACCTTGCTAATGTGATTTTAATGTGAGTTTAGGGAAATAAAATTTTCTCAAATATAAGAATGATATAACAACGGAAGGATTTGTAGATGAATGTTGTTCCATTATTATTTGAATGTGCAATATTTTGCTCTATAGTAGTGTGTGTGTCAGCATCCCATCAAATCAATGTCAGACTGTACAGTGATGTTTAATTATTGCCCGTGGCCAGTGCTGTGTCTCAGCTCTGTGCCAAAGTACACCTATACGGGAGTGTCCAAAGCAATCTGGAGTATGGGAAGCCATGACCACTGGACGCAGAGGCCCCAGTACTATGGGACCAAAGCTCAGAGGGGCATACTGGACATGTCTTGCTGGGAATCTTGAAAGAACTGGAAAGTAGGAAGACAAGGAGACAATAGGGAACAGAGCTAGGAAGTGTTGGGGCTTGAGGAAAAAACAGGAGAAGTTTGTGGATAAGGAATTTGGCGGTTGCCTAGGCAAGACTTAGGCTTGACAAGGAAGCAGCTATAGACAGAATAGGGCAAATGAATGAAATATGCTGAAACCTGTGTGAATTATACAGGCATTTCAACCTTCTGGGAAGCCTATTAGGAGGTCCTCAGTTTGGGTACTGGACACTCTTAACTACCAACATTGCAGTAAGTGGTGAAAGTTAGTCACAGATTTCAGAAAAACTGGAGTAGTATTTAAGGAGCTGCGGTGGCTCAAGTGGTTAAGGCGCTGAACTGCAGGCCGTGGAAGGTCAGTAGTTCAGCAGTTTGAGACCCGAGTGTGCCGCATGATGGAGTGAGCTTCCGTCTCTAGTTCCAGCTCCTGCCAACCTAGCAGTTCGAAAGCAAGAAATTGCAAGTAGGGAAGGTAACAGCATTCCGTGCGCCTTGGTGTTTAGTCATGTCGGCCACATGACCATGGAAATGTCTTCGGACAGCGCTGGCTCTTTGGCTTTGAAACGGAGATGAATACCGCAACCCTAGAGTCGTATTCGACTGGCTTTCAA